GTGATTCCTGCGTTGACGATCCTTTCGTTGGCGATTCTTGCGTTGGCAATTCATGCGTTGGCGATTCCTGCATTGATGATTCATACATTGACGATTCATGCTTTGGCGATAGCTCAGCATGTGTTTGTACAATCACTGTCAAACCCTAACGTCGCTGTGTAATTATTTGAAATAATTGGTTTATCACCAAATATTTCGTTCTTCAACACCATGTAGGGTGTTGGCCGCTTTAAATACACTTAAAAGTGTGCGCATTTTTCCTTCTAAGCAGACTGAAGTAAAGTTATCCTAAAAAAATATATTTTATATCAATATAATTTTAATTTGAAATGATTACTGAAGTTATATGATACTTACTGCAATTCCATGTGCTGTAATATCCTCAAGCTCATGTTGGTATCCAAGTCTTTTTTTTTTGTTTCCAAAAACTCTTGCTTTTGTATCAAGTAGCACTCTACATTGCTCAATCTTTTGCGTTTTTATTATTTCTTCGTTACTTTTCAAGATTTTTACACATTTTTGAATTTTTGAATTTTTTTTGAATTTTTGACATATGGACTGCAATATTCGTTGGAATTTCCAATAAATGTTCACAATAGTTCGTTTATTGCGTTGGTAACACTTTTTTTTTTACTGGTCGATATTGTTGTTGTTTTGTGTACATTTCGGCCAGTATAGGCCAGGATAGGCCAGCAACTTGGTGTTCTTTGCCGTACTTGCGAGCCACCGAAAAGGCCTATTGTTAAAGTAAAAAATTCAATATTTTATAGGCCAGCAGTTCTAATCGCGAGCAGCTGAGTAACACTGGCTTAAAGTATGACACCATTATTTTGAAGTTATTTAGGCCATCATCATTCAGAGTTAACTGTCACAAAGTATATTTAAATTTATACAAAATAAAAAATTCAGAAAATAATTGTGTTGAATAAATCGAATTTTATTTTATTTATTAATGAATTACTAAAACCGTATTTACAACCATTATACTGTAACGACACAAATTTACAATTTACGACAAAAATAAAATCTGTGTGTCAACTAACTACTACCTCTATACATAATATAGATAAAAATAACTCACGTGAAGAAAACTGAAGTGGATTTAGCTAAAAAAAATATGAAATTGAATTAAAATGTTTATTTAAAAATCACATGGACATTACCTGCGATCCTCGGTTCCAACGTGCCGCGGGTATCGATACATGCAATGTGCAGAACCTAAAATATACGAAAAAAAAATGAATTTTTTTTGTTACAAATTTTATGAATGGAAAACTTGTAAAGGAATTCTAAACACAACAACAAATGAACAATTATTAGAGAAAACACGTTTAATTATTAAACAAATATCTATTTAAAAAAAATATATAAATAAAATAAAACACAAAATAATTTAACACTCATGTTTGTACAATTTTATTTTTTATTTACGTAAACAAAACAAACTCCGACAATAACTAAGCACGCTGTTCAATAAGTCGTTTCTTATTGAAACTGAATCGACACTTGAATCGATTCAGTGTTGCTTATGTTTAAGAATCTGGCACTTGAACCAGTTGCTATTGCAAAATCTGAATTTGGCACTTAAACCAACTTCAGATGGATTCAAACAATATTTTTGAGCAACTAGGCACTTGAACCTATTTGCAGTTGAGTTTTAATAAGCACTTGAACTAATTAAAATGCAAGGGCTGTTTTGTATTGAATGATAAATTTATTAGAAAATGTTGAGGTTTTATACACATTTGGCAAGGTGTTGATGCATACAATTCCCACGATAATGCTCTATACCTTAAGCTGCATTAAAGTAGCGATTAGATATCGCTCAGCTTAGTCGTGGGAACGGTCACAGTTCTCATGGAAATTCTATGCATTGACAAATAAAAATTTTACTTGCGTAATTTCCTTAGCAACCTGGTATATGCTTATAAACTTATTTTCTTTTAACCTTGAACTAAGTCCATATACTAGCTTGCTTTACAAACATAATTATTATTTAATAAGTACAATACTGACCTTGCACAAGCAAATTTTAATTTCTCATAATGTTCTATATTAAAGAATTGCACATGCTAAATGCATGGCTTATCTGCAGTTTCATATGACGAGCAAAGTGTGCTCGTGTGATATACAACTGCTGTTGTTGTTTTGATAAATTTTGATATCTTAACCCACCGTTCAAGGCTAAGATATCAAGTCATTAACATTATGAGAATAAAAATTTGCTTTGACAACAAACCAAAAATAATAGAATAAATCTTAAAATACAAGATTTGTCGATCTTAGGCTGATCATTATTATGTCCAAATTGGACATTCTGCCCCCGATTGACGCCAGTCAATCCTATGCTGCTACTTCGAACTCGGACATTGCATGTTGCTCTTGAACTCGTCTTCGTGGTTGTGGGTGGGGTGTACCAATCCTGTGACTGTGTATTTCTTCTGAATAAATATCGACCGATTATGCTGCAGAATATGAGCACGCTGAGACCAAGTGATATATATTCCACAATGAAATGGTGTTGGTGCTGCGATAGTGTATTGTTCGGCAGTTCTTCCTGAGACCTTATCATATTTAATATGCTGATGTTTTTCAACTTTAGAGATGATTGCCGAGGAATCGCTGTCCCTATTGGGCTTGAATGGAAGCTTGTGTTTGAATATTTTAAGCGAGTAGTCATTGTGTAATGGCTTTTTATTGTTGCCGTATGATGTGAGAGTATGCACCCTGGTGGGAGCTCAAGTAAACCTGTATTTTGCAATTTTACCTGAGAATGCTCATTGGCACATACTGCGTTTAGCTTTACAGGGTTTCTTGCGACGAACATCCATTGATTTTGTGCAACAGCCTGGATCCATAAGGTATTACTTGTGAAACTTTGCCAAGTGCAAGATGATGTACTATTATTAAATAGATTTACTTCGCAAGCGCACTTGCCTGATTCAAGAGAATATATTTCTTGTGTATCTGAACAGATGAAGACATCATTTTTTGAAGACACACATTGTGCCAACTGTATTTCTGAAATCGGAAAGTATCCATTCCTATGAGTATTGAATGCCATCATAGACGTACATGGTGTGATTGTCACGTATTCTCCGTTTATGATCCCTGGAACGGGAATAACAACGAATAAATCAAAGGACTGATCATTGATTAGTGGTAGAGTTATTTGAAACAACATTTTAGTATCAAATAAACCACTGCTGACTGTCATAAGAGAATATAGCTCAGAAATGTTGCTCATGTTAACCGGCAACTGCATTGTTGACCTGAGATGTTCCCTCATTGTAGTAACCTCATTCATGAGTTGCTTTGGCGTCAGGAGAAGTGGACTGATTTTTCCATGATTTGTGTCGGTCAACACTCCTAAAAATGCTGATTCGTAAAATTGAATACTTGTTGTTACACTTAATAGTTGAGTTGAAATCGCAGTGAAAAGTTGGTGGAGTTTTAAATTATAAATTTCCTTGTCCTCTTCTAACATTTTTGCCTTTACATCGTTCAATCGCTCGACTGTTAATTCAAAGGTTGTTTGATACTGCTGCTGATTTCGTTTCATGATATTTAGAGTAGAATCTAAAATTGAAGTTTGGTTTTTTAGAAGGTTAAGCAAATGTTTGTCGTCATTTTTTAGTTGTTGAATCGTCTGCGCCATATTTTTAGCGTATTCTGAGTCCAAAACGCCGAATACTGCATTCGCAATGTTACCCACTAAATCGATTGCGCCTCTCTTCTTTCTTTTGTTAATCTGCATTATGTTTGCATATAACAATTCATTTCTCGCTGCCTTGAACTGTTCAACTAACGTCCAGCAGTGATTATATCCATTCATCAACTTACACACGTTCGCTAAGGATTCGGTTCCATTTTCAATAAATTCAAACTCCTGCTGCAATGGACTTAAGTTATAATATGCTATGATTTTCCATTCTGCTTGTGATCTTTTGATGACTCCTTTGTGTTCGAAATGAATGCCTGGTGTGTTATTAAATGATTTTATCGTGATACCTAACCCTGATATCAGTGGTATCCATAATAGTACCAGCAATGCAATGGCTAGCAAGTTGATGTTGAGTTTTGCTCGTTTTTTAGGCTTTTCTGCATCACATCTATCAAGTTGCATCATGGGGGTTGAACAATCTTCCGACAATAATGGTGGTAGCCGATGTATTGGACGCTTCCAAATCCCGTTTTTCGTTTTGACATCTACAACTCTGATTCTTCCATCATTACCGGAATAGCAATTGATGATTCTGCCCAGAGGCCATTGAAGCGGAGGAGCGTTGTCTTCTTGAATGATTACCAGCATTCCTTCTTTGACGTCACTGTAGCTAATTAAGATACTCCTTTGACCATCTTGACCAGAACTCGTTTTTTAGATGATTCACCAGCTTCCACCTGGTTAAAAGCGATTGTTTGGTTGTAGTTTCTGACCTACTTGGATGGGCTGTTAGCTGTTCTCCTATTAAGAAGTGTCCTGGTGTGAGGGCAGCCGGGTCATTTGGGTCTGATGACAACGGTGTTATTGGTCTGGAGTTTAGCATACTTTCAATTTAGGTTACCACTGTTTCCAATTCCTCGTAAGTGAGTGACACGTTGCCAATAGTTCGCATCAATAGATATTTAGCTGATTTGACAGCAGCTTCCCATAATCCTCCGAAATGTGGTGCTCTCGGAGGTATAAAATGAAAAACAATTCCTTGAGCTGAGCAGGATCTTATTATGTTGTTTTGAGCATTTGTGCTGCGAATGCTTTCAGCTAACTTGTTCATTTGATTTTTAGCGCCCACAAAATTAGTCGCGTTGTCACAATATAAGTTCTGACATCGACCTCTTCTTGACGTAAACCGGTTCAAAGCGCCTAAGAATGCATCTGTAGTGAGATCACTAACAACTTCCAAATGTACTGCCTTCGTGGAGAAGCAGCAAAACACTGCGATGTATGCTTTGCGTGGTCTTTTGCCTCTAGTTTTGTGGTGTATCCATATGGGACCACAGAAGTCCACACCTGCGTTGAAAAAAGGTCTTTGAGCTTGGACTCTGTCAGCTGGTAGATTGCCCATGATTTGTTTGAACATGTGTGGGCGTACTCGAGTGCATTGTACACAATGTTGCACAATGGATCGAGCCATAATCTTGCCTTTTATTGGCCAAAATCGCTGCCTGCCCTGGGCTAAATTTGTTTGCGGTCCCCAGTGAAGTCCCTTCTCATGTAAATGTTTCATTATGAGCTTAGCTATTGGATCGTTATATGGCAGCAGCATGGGGTGTTTGGCATCGTAGGTAAGACGCCACTATCGTCGATAAATGGAGAAAGTCCGTGGAGACTACTGCTTCCCTTCAAATCCCTTTTCTTTAAGAGTTGATGTCGTTCTTCATTGAAATCACTTAGCTGTATGGCTTTTATAATTATGAGTAATGACTCATCCAGTTCTAATGGTGTCAAATTGATGTCGTTGTGTTTGCTCTTATTATGTAACCCTTTGATGAATCTCAACACATAGCCAAGAATTCGTTGCAACCTAATGAATGAGTTTCCATGCCTTATCGTATAAATCATTTTGATTAGTTCATCATCATGTGAAATTGTAAGCACATGTACCTTCCTTTTGACTTCCGCTTGTATATGGTCGGATGTTATCAATTCCTGACGGAATGGTTGGGGCCAGCATTCTTGATTTCCATGAAGGAAAAGTGGCCCATAAAACCACATTGCATTCTTCTGAATGTAAATTGGATCTACACCTCTGGATAATATTTATTTATTATTAATCAGCTGGATTTTGTTTAGTATTGACATGCCTCCACTATTCCTTTAGTGTTAATTGCTGAATCTTACTGATACGATGAGCAACGAAGGTTTGGAATGTTGATGGTTCTGAATTGATCCAATGCAGTGTTATCTCAGAATCAGTCCACATATATATCGGATGATGTTCATATTCCAAATCCTTTCTTACCTTTACTACCAATTGTGCTCCTAGTAAAGCCGCACATAACTCAAGTCTTGGTATTGTCTGCGTTTTTAGTGGAGCGACGCGTGATTTTGAACAAAGTAACTGAACTGAGATAGTTCGATCAGTCATTTCGGCTCTGATGTAAATGGCAGCTCCATAGGCCCTTTCGGAGGCAACAGTAAATACATGAATCTGAGTATTCCTTGGTTGTTTATGATGAAATACATTGTGACCGAAAAGCTTTCGGAAATTCTCATTTAAAATTCGCGCGCTGTATATTTTTCGATATTTTAA